GGGAGAATGGGGCGGGGTGATGGAAAGAGGGATAATGAGGCGGGGTGATGGAAAGAGGGAGAATGTTGCGGGGTGATGGAAAGAGGGAGAATAGGGCGGGGTTATGGAAAGAGGGAGAATGGGGCGGGGTGATGAAATAGCGGGAGAATGGGGCGGGGTGATGGAAAGCGGGAGAATGGGGCGGGGTGATGGAAAGAGGAAGAATGGGGCGTGCTGATGGAAAGAGGGAGAATGGGGCGGGGTGATGGAAAGCGGAAGAATGGGGCGGGGTGATGGAAAGCGGGAGAATGGGGCGGGGTGATGGAAAGCGGGAGAATGGGGCGGGGAGATGGAAAGCGGGAGAATGGGGCGGGGTGATGGAAAGCGGGAGAATGGGGCGGGGTGATGGAAAGCGGGAGAATTGGGCGGGTTGATGGAAAGCGGGAGAATGGGGCGGGGTGATGGAAAGCGGGAGAATGGGGTGGGGTGATGGAAAGAGGGAGAATGTTTCGGGGTGATGGAAAGAGGGAAAATGGGGCGGGGTTATGGGCAGCGGGAGAGTGGGGCGGGGTGATGGAAAGCGGGAGAATGGGGCGGGGTGATGGAAGGAGGGAGAATGGGGCGGGGTGATGGAAAGCGGGAGAATGGGGCGGGGTGATGGAAAGCGGGAGAATGGTGCGGGGTGATGGAAAGCGGGAGAATGGGGCTGGGTGATGGAAAGCGGGAGAATGGGGCGGAGTGATGGAAAGCGGGAGAATGGGGCGGGGTGATGGAAGGAGGGAGAATGGGGCGGGGTGATGGAAAGCGGGAGATTGGGGCAGGGTGATGGAAAGCGGGAGAATGGGGCGGGGTGATGGAAAGAGGAAAAATGGGGCGGGGTGATGGAAAGCGGGAGAATGGGGCTAAGTGATGAAAAGCGGGAGAATGGGGCGGGGGTGATGGAAAAACGGGAGAATTGGGCGGGGTGATGGAAGGAGGGAGAATGAGGCGGGGTGATGGAAGAAGGGAGAATGGGGCGGGGTGATGGAAAGTGGGAGAATGGGTCGGGGTGATGGAAAGCGGGAGAATGGGGCGGAGTGATGGAAAGCGGGAGAATGGGGCGGGGTGAGGGAAAGCGGGAGAATGGGGCGGGGTGATGGAAAGCGGGAGAATGGGGCGGGGAGATGGAAAGCGGGAGAAAGGGGAGGGGTGATGGAAAGCGGGAGAATGGGGCGGGCTGATGGAAAGCGGGAGAATGGGGCGGGGTGATGGAAGGAGGGAGAATGGGGCGGGGTGATGGAAGGAGAGAGAAGGGGGCGGGGTGATGGAAAGTGGGAGAATGTGGCGGGGTGATGGAAAACGGGAGAATGGGGCGGGGTTATGGGAAGCGGGAGAATGGGGCGGGGTGATGGAAAGCGGGAGAATGGGGCGGGGTGATGGAAGGAGGGAGAATGGGGCGGGGTGATGGAAGGAGGGAGAATGGGGCGGGATGATGGAAAGCGGGAGAATGGGCCGGGGTGATGGAAAGCGGGAGAATGGAGCGGGGTGATGGAAAGCGGGAGAATGGGGGGGGGTGATGGAAATCGGGAGAATGGGGCGGGGTGATGGAAAGCGGGAGAATGGGGCGGGATGATGGAAGGAGGGAGAATGGGACGGGGTGATAGAAAGCGGGAGAATGTGGCGGGGTGATGGAAAGCGGGAGAAGGGGGTGGGGTTATGGGAAGCGGGAGAACAAGGCAGGGTGATGGAAAGCGGGAGAATGGGGCAGGGTGATGGAAGGAGGGAGAATGGGGCGGGGTGATGGAAGGAGGGAGAATGGGGCGGGGTGATGGAAAGCGGGAGAATGGGGCGGGGTGATAGACGGAGGGAGAATGGGGTGGGGTGATGGAAAGCGGGAGAATGGGGCGGGGTGATGGAAAGCGGAAGAATGGGGCGGGTTGATGGAAAGCGGGAGAATGGGGCTGGGTGATGGAAAGCGGGAGAATGGGGCGGGGTAATGGAAAGCGGGAGAATGGGGCGGGGTGATGGAAGGAGGGAGAATGGGGTGGGGTGATGGAAAGCGGGAGATTGGGGCAGGGTGATGGAAAGCGGGGGAATAGGGCGGGGTGATGGAAGGAGGGAGAATGGGGCGGGGTGATGGAAAGCGGGAGATTGGGGCAGGGTGATGGAAAGCGGGAGAATGGGGCGGGGTGATGGAAAGCGAAAAAATGGGGCGGGATGATGGAAAGCGGGAGAATGGGGCTAAGTGATGGAAAGCGGGAGAATGGGGCGGGGTGATGGAAAGCGGGAGAATGGGGCGGGGTGATGGAAAGCGGGAGAAACGGGCGGGGTGATGGAAAGTGGGAGAATGGGGCGGGCTGATGGAAAGCGGGAGAATGGGGCGGGGTGATGGAAGGAGGGAGAATGGGGCGGAGTGATGGAAGGAGAGAGAAGGGGGCGGGGTGATGGAAAGTGGGAAAATGTGGCGTGGTGATGGAAAGCAGGAGAATGGGGTGGGGTTATGGGAAGCGGGAGAATGGGGCGGGGTGATGGAAAGCGGGAGAATGGGGCGGGGTGATGGAATGAGGGAGAATGAGGCGGGGTGATGGAAGGAGGGAGAATGGGGCGGGGTGATGGAAAGTGGGAGAATGTGTCGGGGTGATGGAAAGCGGGAGAACGGGGCGGAGTGATGGAAAGCGGGAGAATGGGGCGGGGTGATGGAAAGCGGGAGAATGGGGCGGGATGATGGAAGGCGGGAGAATGGAGCGGGGTGATGGAAAGCAGGAGAATGGGGCGGGGTGATGGAAAGCAGGAGAATGGGGCGGGTGATGGAAAGCGGGTGAATGGGGCAGGGTGATGGAAAGCGGGAGAATGGGGCGGGGTGATGGAAAGCGAAAGAATGGGGCGGGGTGATGTAAAGCAGGAGAATGGGGCGAGGTGATGGAAAGCGGGAGAATGGGGGGGGTGATGGAAAGCGGAAGAATGGGGCGGGGTGATGGAAAGCAGGAGAATGGGGTGGGGTGACGGAAAGAGGGAGAATGGGGCGGGGTGATGGAAAGCAGGAGAACGGGGCGGGATGATGGAAAGTGGGAGAATGGGGCGGGGTGATGGAAAGCGGGAGAATGGGGCGGGGTGATGGAAAGCGGGAGAACGGGGCGGGGTGATGGAAAGCGGGAGAATGGGGCGGGGTGATGGAAAGCGGGAGAATGGGGCGGGATGATGGAAAGCGGGAGAATGGGGCGGGGTGATGGAAAGCGGGAGAATGGGGCGGGGTGATGGAAAGAGGGAGAATGGGGCGGGGTGATGGAAAGCAGGAGAATGGGGTGGGGTGATGGAAAGAGGGAGAATGGGGCGGGGTGATGGAAAGCGGGAGAATGGGGCGGGGTGATGGAAAGCGGGAGAATGAGGCGGGGTGATGGGAAGAGGGCGAATGGGCTGGGGTGATGGGAAGCGGGGGAATGGGGCGGGGTGAAGGAAAGCGAGAGAATAGGGCGGGGTGATGGAAAGCGGGAGAATTGGGCGGGGTGATCGAAAGCGGGAGAATGGGGCGGGGTGATGGGAAGAGGGAGAACGGGGCGGGGTGATGGGAAGCGGGAGAATGGGGCGGGGTGAAGGAAAGAGGGAGAATGGGGCGGGGTGATGGAAAGAGGGAGAATGGGGCGGGGTGATGGAAAGCGGGAGAATGGGGCGGGGTGATGGAAAGCGGGAGAACGGTGCGGGGTGATGGAAAGCAGGAGAATGGGCGGGTTGATGGAAAGCGGGAGAATAGGGCGGGGTAATGGAAAGCGGGAGAATGGGGCGAGGTGATGGAAAGCGGGAGAATGGAGCGGGGTGATAGAAAGCGGGAGAATGGGGCGGGGTGATGGAAAGCGGGAGAATGGGGCGGGGTGATGGAAAGAGGGAGAATAAGGCGGGGTGTTGGAAAGAGGGAGAATGGGGCGGGGTGATGGAAAGCGAGAGAATGGGCCGGGATGATGGAAAGAGGGAGAATGGGGCGGGGTGATGGAAAGCGGGAGAATGGGGCGGGGTGATGGAAAGCGGGAGAAAGGGGCAGGGTGATGGAAAGAGGTAGAATGGGGCGGGGTGATGGAAAGCAGGAGAATGGGGTGGGGTGATGGGGGAGAATGGGGCGCGGTGATGGAAAGCGGGAGAATGGGGCGGGGTGATGGAAAGCGGGAGAATGGGGCAGGGTGATGGGAAGAGGGAGAATGGGGCAGGGTGATGGGAAGCCGGGGAATGGGGCGGGGTGATGGAAAGCGGGAGAATGGGGCGGGGTGATAAAAAGCGGGAGAATGGGGTGGGGTGATCGAAAGCGGGAGAATGGGGCGGGGTGATGGGAAGAGGGAGAATGGGACGGGGTGATGGGATGCGGTAGAATGGGGCGGGGTGAAGGAAAGAGGGAGAATGGGGCGGGGTGATAGAAGGCGGGAGAATGGGGCGGGTTGATGGAAAGCGGGAGAATGGAGCGGGGTGATAGAAAGCGGGAGAATGGGGCGGGGTGATGGAAAGCGGGAGAATGGGGCGGGGTGATGGAAAGCGGGAGAATGGGGCCTTGAGGGCTTGAAGGCTTGAAGGCTTGAGGGCTTGAAGGCTTGAGGGCTTGAGGGCTTGAGGGCTTGAGGGCTTGAGGGCTTGAAGGCTTGAAGGCTTGAGGGCTTGAGGGCTTGAGGGCTTGAAGGCTTGAGGGCTTGAAGGCTTGAGGGCTTGAAGGCTTGAAGGCTTGAAGGCTTGAGGGCTTGAGGGCCTGAAGGCTTGAGGGCTTGAGGGCTTGAGGGCTTGAAGGCTTGAAGGCTTGAAGGCTTGAGGGCTTGAAGGCTTGAAGGCTTGAGGGCTTGAGGGCTTGAAGGCTTGAAGGCTTGAGGGCTTGAGGGCTTGAAGGCTTGAAGGCTTGAGGGCTTGAGGGCTTGAAGGCTTGAGTGCTTGATGGCTTGAAGGCTTGAAGGCTTGAAGGCTTGAGGGCTTGAGGGCGTGAGGGTTTGAGGGCTTGAGGGCGTGAGGGCGTGAGGGCTTGAGGGCTTGAGGGCTTGAGGGCTTGAGGGCTTGAGGGCTTGAGGGCTTGAAGGCTTGAATTCTTGAAGGCTTGAAGGCTTGAAGGCTTGAAGGCTTGAAGGCTTTAGGGCTTGAGGGCTTGAGGGCTTGAAGGCTTGAAGGCTTGAGGGCTTGACGACACCAGGCCCACCAGGTCAAGGTCGAAAGCCTTGGCCCTGACCAGCAGAGGGAGGAGGGGGAAGGGGGGCAAGTACATGAGGAAAATGTGCCCGTGCCCCACACTGGCGATGACAGGGAAACTCACTGCGGATCGGAGGACACTAGGCACGTGATGACAGAGGTACTTTCATCTCACCATCTGATGACAGAGGTACTTTCATCTCACCATCTGATGAAAGAGGTACTTTCATCTCACCATCTGATGAAAGAGTTACTTTCATCTCACCATCTGATGAAAGAGATACTTTCATCTCACCATCTGATGAATAACAACGTTCATCTCACCATCTGATGAAAGAGTTACTTTCATCTCACCATCTCACCACCCGCTTTCCATCATCCCGCCCCATTCTCCCTCCTTCCATCACACCGCCCCATTCTTCCGCTTCCCATCATCCCGCCCCATTCCCCCGCTTTCCATCACCCCTCCCCATTCTCCCTCCTTCCATCACCCCGCCCCATTCTCTCGCTTTCCATCACCCCGCCCCATTCTCCCGCTTTCCATCACCCCGCCCCATTTTCCCGCTTTCCATCACTCCGCCCCATTATCCCTCCTGCCATCACCCCGCCCCATTCTCCCTCCTTCCATCACCCCGCCCCATTCTCCTGCTTTCCATCACCCCGCCTCATTCTCCCGCTTCCCATAACCCCACCCCATTCTCCCGCTTTCCATCACCCCGCCACATTCTCCCACTTTCCATCACCCCGCCCCCTTCTCTCTCCTTCGATCACCCCGCACCATTCTCCCTCCTTCCATCACCCCTCCCCATTCTCCCGCTTTCCATCAGCCCGCCCCATTCTCCCGCTTTCCATCACCCCTCCCCTTTCTCCCGCTTTCCATCTCCCCGCCCCATTCTCCCGCTTTCCATAACCCGGCCCCATTCTCCCGCTTTCCATCACCCCGCCCCATTCTTCCGCTTCCCATCATCTCGCCCCATTTACCCGCTTTCCATCACCCCTCCCCATTCTCCCTCCTTCAATCACCCCGCCCCATTCTCTCGCTTTCCATCACCCCGCCCCATTCTCCCGCTTCCCATCACGCCGCCCCATTCTCCCGCTTTCCATCACCCCGCCCCATTCTCCCTCCTTCCATCACCCCGCCCCATTCTCCCGCTTTCCATCACCCCGCCCCATTCTCCCTCCTTCCATCACCCCGCCCCATTCTCCCTCATTCCATCACCCCGCCCCATTCTCCCGCTTTCCATCACCCAGCCCCATTCTCCCGCTTCCCATAACCCCACCCCATTCTCCCGCTTTCCATCACCCCGCCACATTTTCCCACTTTCCATCACCCCGCCCCCTTCTCTCTCCTTCCATCACCCCGCCCCATTCTCCCTCCATCCTTCACCCCGCCCCATTCTCCCGCTTTCCATCAGCCCGCCCCATTCTCCCGCTTTCCATCATCCCGCCCCTTTCTCCCGCTTTCCATCTCCCCGCCCCATTCTCCCGCTTTCCATTACCCCGCCCCATTCTCCCGCTTTCCATCACCCCGCCCCATTCTTCCGCTTCCCATCATCCCGCCCCATTCCACCGCTTTCCATCAGCCCTCCCCATTCTCCCTCCTTCCATCACCCCGCCCCATTCTTCCGCTTTCCATCACCCGCCCCATTCTCCCACTTTCCATCACCTCGCCCCATTCTCCCGCTTTCCATCACCCCGCCCCATTCTTCTGCTTTCCATCACCCCGCCCCATTCTCCCGCTTTCCATCACCCCGCCCCATTCTCCCTCCTTCCATCACCCTGCCCCATTCTCCCTCCTTCCATCACCCCGCCCCATTCTCCCGCTTTCCATCACCCCGCCACATTCTCCCGCTTTCTATCACCCCGCCCCATTCTCCCTCCTTCTATCACCCCGCCCCATTCTCCCGCTTTCCACCACCCCGCCCTATTCTCCCGATTTCCATCACCCCGCCCCCTTCTCCCGCTTTCCATCATCCCGCCCCATTCTCCCTCCTTCCATCACCCCGCCCCATTCTCCCGCTTTCCATCACTCCGCCCCATTCTCCCTCCTTCCATCACCCCGCCCCATTCTCCCTCCTTCCATCTGACCGCCCCATTCTCCCGCTTTCCATCACCCCGCCCCAATCTCCTGCTTCCCATAACCCCACCCCATTCTCCCGCTTTCCATCTCCCCGCCCCATTCTCCCGCTTTCCATCACCCCGCCCCATTCTCCCGCTTTCCATCACCCCACCCCATTCTTCCGCTTCCCATCATCCCGCCCCATTCCCCCGCTTTCCATCACCCCTCCCCATTCTCCCTCCTTCCATAACCCTGCCCCATTCTCCCGCTTTCCATCACCTCGCCCCATTCTCCCGCTTTCCATCACCCAGCCCCATTCTCCCGCTTTCCATCACCCCGCCCCATTTTCCCGCTTTCCATCACCCCGCCCCATTCTCCCTCCTTCCATCACCCCGCCCCTTTCTCCCGCTTTCCATCACCCCGCCCCATTCTCCTGCTTTCCATCACCCAGCCCCATTCTCTTGCTTTCCATCACCCCGCCCCATTCTCCCGCTTTCCATCACCCCACCCCATTCTCCCTCCTTACATCACCCCGCCCCATTCTCCCTCCTTCCATCACCCCGCCCCATTCTCCCGCTTTCCATCACCCCGCCCCATTCTCCCTCCTTCCATCACCCCGCCCCATTCTCCCTCCTTCCATCACCCCGCCCCATTCTCCCGCTTTCCATCACCCCGCCCCATTCTCCCGCTTCCCATAACCCCACCCCATTCTCCCGCTTTCCATCACCCCGCCACATTCTCCCGCTTTCCATCACCCCGCCCCATTCTCCCTCCTTCCATCACCCCGCCCCATTCTCCCGCTTTCCATCACCCCGCCCCATTCTCCCGCTTTCCATCACCCCGCCACATTCTCCCACTTTCCATCACCCCGCCCCCTTCTCTCTCCTTCCATCACCCCGCCCCATTCTCCCTCCTTCCATCACCCCGCCCCATTCTCCTGCTTTCCATCAGCCCGCCCCATTCTCCCGCTTTCCATCACCCTGCCCCATTCTCCCGCTTTCCATCTCCCCGCCCCATTCTCCCGCTTTCCATCACCCCGCCCCATTCTCCCGCTTTCCATCACCCCGCCCCATTCTTCCGCTTCCCATCATCCCGCCCCATTCCCCCGCTTTCCATCACCCCTCCCCATTCTCCCTCCTTCCATCACCCCGCCCCATTCTCTTGCTTTCCATCACCCCGCCCCATTCTCCCGCTTTCCATCACCCCGCCCCATTCTCCCGCTTTCCATCACCCTGCCCCATTCTCCCTCCTTCCACCACCCCGCCCCATTCTCCCGCTTTCCATTACCCCGCCCCAATCTCCCTCCTTCCATCACCCGGCCCCATTCTCCCTCATTCCATCACCCCGCCCCATTCTCCCGCTTTCCATCACCACGCCCCATTCTCCCGCTTCCCATAACCCCACCCCATTCTCCCGCTTTCCATCACCCCGCCACATTTTCCCACTTTCCATCACCCTGCCCCCTTCTCTCTCCTTCCATCACCCCGCCCCATTCTCCCTCCTTCCATCACCCCGCCCCATTCTCCCGCTTTCCATCAGCCCGCCCCATTCTCCCGCTTTCCATCACCCCGCCCCTTTCTCCCGCTTTCCATCTCCACGCCCCATTCTCCCGCTTTCCATCGCCCCACCCCATTCTCCCGCTTTCCATCACCCCGCCCCATTCTTCCGCTTCCCATCATCCCGCCCCATTCCCCCGCTTTCCATCACCCCTCCCCATTCTCCCTCCTTCCATCACCCCGCCCCATTCTCCCGCTTTCCATCACCTCGCCCCATTCTCCCGCTTTCCATCACCCCGCCCCATTCTCCCGCTTTCCATCACCCCGCCCCATTCTCTCGCTTTCCATCACCCTGCCCCATTCTCCCGCTTTCCATCACCCCGCCCCGTTTTCCTTCTTTCCATCACCCCGCCCCATTCTCCCGCTTTCCATCACTCCGCCCCATTCTCCCGCTTTCCATCACCCCGACTTATTCTCCCACTTTCCATCACCCCGCCCCATTCTCCCTCCTTCCATCACCCCGCCTCATTCTCCCTCCTTCCATCACCCCGCCCCATTCTCCCGCTTTCCATCACCCCGCCCCATTCTCCCGCTTTCCATCACCCCGCCCCATTTTCCCGCTTTCCATCACCCCGCCCCATTTTCCCGCTTTCCATCACCCCGCCCCATTCTCCCGCTTTCCATCACCCTGCCCCAATCTCCCGCTTTCCATCACCTTGCCCCAATCTCCCGCTTTCCATCACCCCACCCCATTCTCCCTCCTTCCATCACCCTGCCCCATTCTCCCGCTTTCCATCACCCCGCCCCGTTTTCCTTCTTTCCATCACCCCGCCCCATTCTCCCGCTTTCCATCACTCCGCCCCATTCTCCCGCTTTCCATCACCCCGACTTATTCTCCCACTTTCCATCACCCCGCCCCATTCTCCCTCCTTCCATCACCCCGCCTCATTCTCCTTCCTTCCATCACCGCGCCCCATTCTCCCGCTTTCCATCACCCCGCCCCATTCTCCCGCTTTCCATCACCCCGCCCCATTTTCCCGCTTTCCATCACCCCGCCCCATTCTCCCGCTTTCCATCACCCTGCCCCAATCTCCCGCTTTCCATCACCCCACCCCATTCTCCCTCCTTCCATCACCCCGCCCCATTCTCCTACTTTCCATCACCCTGCCCCATTCTCCCGCTTTCCATCACCCAGCCCGATTCTTCCGCTTTCCATCACCCCGCCCCATTCTCCCGCTTTCCATCACCCCGCCCCATTCTCCCTCCTTCCATCACCCCGCCCCATTCTCCCGCTTTCCATCACCCCGCCTCATTCTCCCTCCTTCCATCAACTCGCCGCATTCTCCCTCCTTCCATCACCCCGCCCCATTCTCCCGCTTTCCATCACCCCGCCCCATTCTCCCGCTTCCCATAACCCCACCCCCTTCTCCTGCTTTCCATCACCCGCCACATTCTCCCGCTTTCTATCACCCCGCCCCATTCTCCCTCCTTCCATCAACCCGCCCCATTCTCCCGCTTTCCATCACCCCGCCCCATTCTCCCGATTTCCATCACCCCGCCCCATTCTCCCGCTTTCCATCACCCCGCCCCATTCTCCCGCTTTCCATCACCCTGCCCCATTCTCCCGCTTTCCATCATCCCGCCCCATTCTCCCTCCTTCCATCACCCCGCCCCATTCTCCCGCTTTCCATCACTCCGCCCCATTCTCCCTCCTTCCATCACCCCGCCCCATTCTCCTGTCAGAGGTCCACTGGTGATCCCCGATCGATCCTAGGGAAGGGTTACAGGCACGTTTGCCTGGGGGGTTATGGGCGCACTGACCCGCTACTGAAACAAGCCCTTTTATCCCAATGGTCTAGTGGTTGGGATTCTGATATGGTATCAGCTAGGTTAGGATTCTGTGGGATCCCGTTCCTCCGTTCTCCGTTCGTACCTCCCGAGCCTGATCCTACCTCTCGTTCGTACCAGTTCCGTTGTTACCGCGCCTAGTACCGAGCCTAGCGCCCTTTCCCCCGTCGCTTAGCGCCCTTTCTCCCCGTCGCCTAGCCCCCCCCCCCCCCAGTCGCGTCGCGCCCTTTCCCCCCGTCGCATCACGCCCTTTCCCCCCGTCGCGTCGCGCCCGTTCCCCCCGTCGCGTCGTGCCCGCCTGTTCCCCCCCCCGTCCCGTCGCCCTGTCCCGTCGCGTCGCCCTACCCCGTTGCGCCGCCCTGCCCCGTCCCGTCGCCCTGCCCCGTCGCGCCGCCCTGCCCCGTCGCGTCGCCCTGTCCCGTCGCGTCGCCCTGCCCCGTCGCGTCGCTCCCGCCCTTTCCCCTGTCGCGTCGCCCTGCCCTACGCCCTGGCCCGTCGCCCTGCCCTAAGCCCTGGCCCGTCGCCCTACCCTAGGCCTTGGCCCGTCGCCCTCCCTAAGTCCTGGCCCGTCGCCCTACCCTAGGCCCTGGCCCGTCGCCCTACCCTAGGCCCTGGCCCGTCGCCCTCCCTAAGCCCTGGCCCGTCGCCCTACCCTAGGCTCTGGCCCGTTGCCCTCCCTAAGCCCTGGCCCGTCGCCCTACCCTAGGCCCGGGCCCGTTGCCCTACCCTACGTCCTGGCCCGTCGCCCTAGCCCGCTCTTCCGCTGCGACTGAGTCCTCTTCCCCTCCGGTTGTTACTCGCCTGTTCGTTCGCGTTAGTCCTCACTATGGCGACTACGCGAGTTCTTCGTTTCGACGCTGACGGTAGACCCCTTGACTTTTCCGTTTGGCTTCTTCGCGCTCGCCGTCTGTTAGAGAGTCAGGTCCAGGGGGGCGAGACCCTCTGGTCACACGCTACTGGTGACCTCCCTGAGCCCCCCGAGCCTACAGCTTTAGGCCCTGCTCCTGACGACGCTGCTACGGCTCGCTTTGCCCGTCAGCGCGCTGACCGGACGGCTTGGACGTCGCGTGACGCTGCGGCCTGCATCGCACTCAGCAGCCTCCTCCCTGAGTCCGAGGAGGTCCACTTTACTCAGGTTCGCACCGCTGCTGCGTACCTCACTGCGATTAAGGCCGGCTACTCTACTCCCGCTACTGTCTCTCTTGGCCGTCTTTTCCTCCCGTTCCTGTTTCCTGATCTTGCCTCGTTTGAGCGCTCTGCTGACTTGATCGCTCACCTCCGCTTGCTCGACGCTAGTTACCGCGCTGCTTGCACTGAGGCACAGCTTACACTGCTTCCTCCCCCCATGGCGATCACTGTCTATTTCATCGCCACTAGCCTCCCTGACCGCCTTGCCTCCGTTCGTGACGCGCTTCTGCTGAAGCACCCTAGTGAGCTGACTATCGAGGTCCTTGAGTCTGCACTCAAGGACGTCGAGAGCAACCTTCGTTCGGTAGCTGCCGCCTCTGGTACTGTGTCCCCCCCACTCTTCCACGGGTGCACAGTCCCGCAGTTACCCACCTTCACTGCCTCTCTTGCCACTGCCGCTACTGACGCGACTGCGGCTGCTGTTACGACTGCGTCGCGGTCCCGCGGCAGGGGGGGCAAGAAAGGTGGTTCTGGTGGAGGTGGAGGCGGAGGTAGCGGAGGTAGTGGGGGTGCTGTTGCGACTGGGGGTGGTGGGAGTGCAGCATCTGGAGAGACCCCTCGTGCAGCGGCTGGTGACTCCACTGCACCTGCTGGTGGCGGCGACCCCCGAGCTCGTCAGTCGCCTCCTGTACTGCCGGCCCCGCTAGGTGGAGCAGCGGCGTGGTATCAGCAGCAGCAGCGTCAGCAGCTGGCTCCGGGGTCGGGGCTGCATCAGCCCCAGCGCGGTGCGGTTTACCCTCCCTGCCCCTACCAGGTTCAGACAGGTCCTCGTCGGGGCCACCCTTGTGGCCGCTTTCACCCCCCTGGTCAGTGCTTTGCTCAGCTCACTGACACGGTCCGGTTGACCTACGGGGTTGGCGGTCCTGCTCCTGACTGGCTTCCTCTGGTTCAGCGCTACGGCTCCGCTCTGTGGGGCATGTCTGCTGAGCAGTTAGTTGATCTGATTAGTGCTCCTCATGCTATGTATGCTGTTGTTGACTCTAGTGTTTCTGACTCTGTCTACTCTGGTGTTGTTAGCTTAGGTGCTAGTCTTGCTCAGTTGCCTGTTGCTAGTGTAGGTACTTGTGTAGACTCTAGACCAGCGACTACCTCAGGGGACGCTTCGCTGTCGTTCACACTGGACTCTGGAGCCTCCCACTGCTTCTTCCAGGACAGCACGACACTTACACCACTTCCTGCGCCTGTTTCTGTAGCGTTGGCTGATCCCACTACGGGACCAGTCACTGCACGTCACACTACCACTTTACCGTGTCCTGCTGCTCCCTCCGGGTCTCTCACTGGGTTTCACGTCCCCTCGTTCTCCCGGAACTTGGTGGGCGTGCGACCCCTCGTGAGTCAGCACGTGGGTGTGTGGTTTGAGCCTTCTGGAGAGACTGCGGTGTGTGTTGACGGAGACTCTTACCAGCCTCTTGCTACCTTTACTGCTGAGCCGGGCTCGGGTCTCTACACTCTTCACACTGGCCCGCGTGCGCCGCAGCAGCAGCCGCAGCAGCAGCAGCAGCCGCAGCCGCAGCAGCAGCAGCAGCAGCAGCAGCACCAGCGGCCGCACCAGCAGCCCCCCCTACTGCCACTGCCCCCGGTTCCCCCCCCCGTTCGGGTCCCCGCGTCTCACCAGGTTGCTTCGTCCCCCCAGGTGTCTGTGTCGTGTCAGGTTCCTACGTCTGTTCCAGTCGCTGCGTCGTGCTCCTGCCGGTCGCTTGCCCACCCCACCGTTCTGTGGCACCACCGGATGGGGCACCCGTCCCTTCCTCGTCTGCGCGCTATGTCTAGCCAGCGTCTTGTCCTAGGCCTCCCACGTGTCTTGTTGTCGCTGCCGCCTTCGCTTGCGCCGCCATGTCGTCCCTGCGTCGAGGGTAGGCTGCGCACCACCCCTCACTCCTCCTCCCTTCGTCCGGCCACCGAGCCTTTTGAGACGCTTCACTTGGACGTCTGGGGCCCCGCCCCTCGTCTAGGCCCTGAGCGTGAGCGTTACTTTCTGGTGGTCGTTGACGACTTCTCCCGCTACACCACAGTGTTCCCTCTGGCGAAGAAGTCTGAGGTGACTTCTACGCTGATCAGGTGGTTGCTCACCACCGAGGACACTCGTGGTCGTCGTGTCAGCTGTCTCCACTCCGACCGTGGGGGTGAGTTTCGCTCCGGCATTCTCGCTGGATTCTGTCGCGAGCAGGGCATTCGTCAGTCCTGGACGCTTCCAGAGTCCCCACAGCAGAATGGGGTTGCTGAGCGCCGCATAGGCCTAGTCATGGAGATCGCCCGCACCTCCCTGACTCACGCCTGTGCCCCCCATTTTCTGTGGCCCTACGCGGTCAGGTACGCCCCGCACCAGCTGAACCTCTGGCCACGTGTCTCTCGACCAGAGGTTTCACCGACCAGTCTTTGGACAGGGTCCCCTGGTGTTGCGTCGCGGTTTCGTGTCTGGGGGTGCTTGGCTCTTGTCCGCGACACCTCCGCGGACAAGCTCTCGCCTCGTGCCGTCCCCTGTGTCTTCCTTGGTTTCCCTGAGGACTCCTCTGACTTCACCTTTTACCACCCTCCCTCTCACCGGTTCTTTGACTCCCATGACGTCCGTTTCGAGGAGTCCACTCCGTACTACGTCACGTACCCCAGTCAAGGTCTCCCGGTTCCTCCTCCCCCCCTCTTCCTGACTGCCGCTCCCCCTCCTGCTCCCCCGGTACAGCCTCCCCCCCCTGGCCCAGCCCCGTCAGGTGTGTCCCAGGCTACCCCTCCTCCTTCGGTAGCCCCTCCGGTACAGCCTCCCTCCCCACAGTCCTCCTCGCAGCGTGCCGCTGGTGCTAGCTCTCGAGAGGTTGGTGCTGCGTCTGTTCCTGTACCGGTTTCTGGTTCTGGGGGTGCTGGAGTTGGAGCTGGTGTTGGAGCTGGAGGTGGAGCTGGAGTAGGCACTGGAGTTTCTGGTTCTGGGGGTGCTGGAGTTGGAGCTGGAGTTTCTGGTTCTGGAGTTGGAGCTGACCCGGTGGGTGCAGAGGACTCTTGTCGTCCGGGAGCCGGTGCTGGCCGCGCGGACTCTGGGGGTGCTCCCTCTGGGGGTGAGGGTGCGCCTGCTTCGGGTTCTGGTGCGCCTGGGTCTGGAGCTGGTGTTAGTGCTGCCTCTGGGGGTGGTGCGCCTGGTTCTTCGGGGGTTGACTCTGGAGCTGCCGCTGCTTCGGACACTACTCCGCCCCCCCACCCCTACCCGACTAGGCACCAGGCTCGTGTTCGCCGTGCCCGTGACGAGCAGCTGGAGTTGGAGAGAGAGGAGAGGGAGTTACAGCAGCTGGCGGAGCAGCAGCAGCAGCTGGACCCGCAGGAGCAGCAGTCCCAGCAGCAGCCGCGTCCGCAGCAGCAGCAGTCGCAGCAGCAGCAGCAGCAGCCACTTCCTCCTCCTGTCTCGGGTCTTCGGGCCCTTGGTCTCCCCTCCCCTTCTCCTCCCTCCTCCGCCTCTCCTCCTGTCTACGGTCCCACGTTTCCTCCGCCTGACTCCTCCCCCGCTGTTTTCTCTAGTTCTCTGCCTTTGTCCTCTCCTCCTCCGTCTCGTTCTTGGGCTACTCGTCGCTCCCCTCGTGCTCGTCCCTCGTCTCCTGTTCCCTTCACGACCTTCGTACTGCCTTACTTTGTTCCAGTCCGCCTCGTCCGTCTCAGTCTGTGCTTCCGTCTCCTCCTAAGTCGGCCCTCACCGTGTCGCTCCCTGCTCCTGTCACTGACTACTACCGCACGTACCGTCCTGTTCTCTCTCGTGTTCTCGCCTCTCTTGTTACTCACCCTCGTGCCTCTATGTCCTCTGTGTCCGCTCTTACTGCCGCGGTTACTGACTTTGCCGCTACCCGCCGCCTTGACTACGCCACCACGCTTGTGGCTGCTCCTCCTACCAGTCCTCTGGCCGTCGGGGGTGTGTCTGCCCTTGGCTGTGACGCCCTAGAGGACAGGCAGTTTGAGCTAGAGTTCCTGGCGGCCGCTTCCCCTCATCTCTGTGCCATGCTCCTCGCCCCTGAGGGTGACCCCGACGCCCTTGACATTCCGACTCCTCGCACTTACGCTGAGGCAGTGTCAGGGCCTTGGGCCTCTCAGTGGAGAGCTGCCATGGACGCAGAGATGGCCTCCTACAGATCCACAGGCACCTACGTCGATGAGGTTCCCCCCCCTGTGGCGAACGAAATCGACGGCATGTGGATCTACACGGTGAAGCGGCCACCGGGATCTCCCCCGGTCTTCAAGGCGCGCTACGGGGCTAGAGGTTTCAGTCAGCGCGAGGGAGTTGACTTCTTTCAGACCTTCGCACCTACCCCGAAGATGACCACTCTTCGGGTGTTACTACACGTAGCAGCACAGAGAGACTACGAGTTACACTCTCTCGACTTCTCCACTACTTTCCTTCAGGGCAGCCTACACGAGGAGGTCTGGTTGCGTCGTCCCTCGGCCTTCACTGGCACTTTCCCTCCTGGGACCCAGTGGAGGCTGAGGCGACCTGTTTACGGTCTTTGCCAGGCCCCTCGTGAGTGGCACGACACTCTGCGTTCTACCCTCTCTGACCTTGGGTTCCAGCCGTCTTCTGCCGACCCGTCGCTGTTCATTCGTCGTGGCTCCACACCGTTCTTTGTTCTGGTCTACGTCGACGACCTCGTTTTCGCCACTCCGGACAGGGTTGCTTTGGCAGACGTGAAGTCCGAACTGCAGAAGAGACACACGTGCACTGATCTTGGTGAGCTGCGCCTCTACCTTGGCCTGCAGATCACCAGGGACAGAGCCGCTCGCACCATTACACTCTCACAGTCACACATGGTGCAGCAGGTCCTTCAGCGGTTCGGGCTTCAGCACTCCACCGTACAGCGCACACCTCTCGCTGTTGACCACAGACTCACTGGTCCCTTTCCTGACAAGCCGTTTGAGCCTAGTGGTCCCTACGCAGAGCTTGTGGGTTGCCTCATGTACCTGATGACTTGTACTCGCCCGGACCTCGCCTTCCCTCTCAGCATCCTTGCGTGCTTTGTTGCGCCAGGGAGACACCGTCCTGTTCACTGGACGGCAGCTGTGAGGGTGGCGAAGTACCTAGCGACTACATCAGGCGTGGTCCTAGTTCTTGGAGGGCAGCAGTCTGTCGTACTCACTGGTCACTGTGACTCCTCTTACGCTGACGACGCTGAGACTCACAGGTCTACTCAGGGGTACTGTTTCAGTCTGGGTTCTGGAGCTGTTTCCTGGCGTTCCACGCGCTCCTCTTCTGTCTCGACCTCTACAGCTGAGGCTGAGATTTACGCTCGTGCCATGGCGGCACAGGAGTTGCGGTGGTTGACCTTCTTGCTCGCCGACCTTGGTGAGCGGCCGAGCTCTGCACCGACCTTGTTTACTGACAACAAGGCGTCGATCCTCCTCTGTCGTGAGCCACGACTGGAGAGCAGAGTGAAGCACATTCACGTCAGGTACTTTCTTCTGCGAGAGTTGCAAAGACGTGGACAGGCTCGCTTCGAGTTCGTGGAGTCCGAGGCCAACACTGCAGACATCTTCACCAAGGCGCTTCCGCCTTGTGACCACCAGAGGTGTTGTGTGCAGTTAGGCCTTGTTGACACAGGTTCTAGTCATGTGTAGACTTGAGTTTATTGCCTGCTTCGTCTGTACGCTTGCTATATATACTTGTGATCTCTTGGACTGGCCTTGTGGCCACTGTTGCTTGTGCTCAGAGTGTGTGGTGACGTTGTGATCCACCCTGAGCTTTGTTTTCTTTTGGACTGGTCTTGTGACCGTACTCTTTTTGATGTTGCTAGACACCCCTCACTTAGGCTATGGGGGTGTGTCAAATGTTGTAGCCTGTAGTGAGGTTTATCTTAGGGGGTACAGAAGTTAGGGTTTGTCATATGTAACCCAATCTCAGAATCCCAACCACTAGACCATTGGGATAAAAGGGCTTGTTTCAGTAGCGGGTCAGTGCGCCCATAACCCCCCAGGCAAACGTGCCTGTAACCCTTCCCTAGGATCGACCCGGGATCACCAGTGGACCTCTGACAGCCCCCCGTACTGGGATGCCCGAAGTGCATACACCGGGATTCGAACCCGAGACCTTCGCTCTGATACCATATCAAAATGAGGAATGGGTGTTACATTGATGTTGGTTGGGGTACATATGACAAACCCTAACTTCTGTACCCCCTAAGACAAACCTCACTACAGGCTACAACATTTGACATCTCCCTCCTTCCATCACCCTGCCCCATTCTCCCGCTTTCCATCACCCCGCCCCATTCTCCCGCTTCCCATAACCCCACCCCATTCTCCCGCTTTCCATCACCCCGCCACATTCTCCCACTTTCCATCACCCCGCCCCCTTCTCTCTCCTTCCATCACCCCGCCCCATTCTCCCTCCTTCCATCACCCCGCCCCATTCTCCCGCTTTCCATCACCCCGACCCATTCTCCAACTTTCCATCACCCCGCCCCATTCTCCCTCCTTCCATCACCCCGCCTCATTCTCCCTCCTTCCATCACCCCGCCCCATTCTCCCGCTTTCCATCACCCCGCCCCATTGTCCCGCTTTCCATCACTTAGCCCCATTCTCCCGCTTTCCATCATCCCGCCCCATTTTTTCGCTTTCCATCATCCCGCCCCATTCTCCCGCTTTCCATCACCCTGCCCCAATCTCCCGCTTTCCATCACCCCGCCCCATTCTCCCTCCTTCCATCACCCCGCCCCATTCCCCCGCTTTCCATCACCCTGCCCCAATCTCCCGCTTTCCATCACCCCGCCCCATTCTCCCGCTTTGCATCACCCCGCCCCATTCTCCCTCCTTCCATCACCCCGCCCCATTCTCCCGCTTTCCATCTACCCGCCCCATTCTCCCTCCTTCCATCACCTCGCCCCATTCTCCCTCCTTCCATCACCCCGCCCCATTCTCCCGCTTTCCATCACCCCGCCCTGTTCTCCCGCTTCCCATAACCCCACCCCCTTCTCCCGCTTTCCATCACCCCGCCACATTCTCCCGCTTTCTATCACCCCGCCCCATTCTCCCTCCTTCCATCACCCCGCCCCATTCTCCCGCTTTCCATCACCCCGCCCCATTCTCCCGATTTCCATCACCCCGCCCCATTCTCCCGCTTTCCATCACCCCGCCCCATTCTCCCGCTTTCCATCACCCCGCCCCATTCTCCCGCTTTCCATCATCCCGCCCCATTCTCCCTCCTTCCATCACCCCGCCCCATTCTCCCGCTTTCCATCACTCCGCCCCATTCTCCCTCCTTCCATCACCCCGCCCCATTCTCCCTCCTTCCATCACCCCGCCCCATTCTCCCGCTTTCCATCACCCCGCCCCATTCTCCCGCTTCCCATATCCCCACCCCATTCTCCCGCTT